GAAGCGCCCTAAGTCATCACGCAAATGCAAATCGAAACTCTATTTAGCTATACGATTCTCCATGTGAGCAACAAATATTCCGACAAAATTTCAGCTACTACTTTCCGGCAAGTTTTCGACTTAGAACACGCCAGCTACGAACTCCGATTCAACTGTCGCATGCGCTTGTATCGCAGGCGCAGTATAAGCGCATGCGATAGCTGAATTTAAAAGTTTTAGCTCATACATGCGCAAAGAATATCCCTGCAAATTTACAGCTTTCTAACTTGTCTGGTTCACGAAATCGCTCCTCGCCAAAGAAATTTACATATTTTTTCAGTGGTCTGTACGCGAGATTTAGGCGCGTATGAGCGAAGATTTTAAAAAGGGAAGGTGACACAAGGGGTGGGAACATGAATCCAAAATTTCAGCCTCTCAGCTTTCCTAGTTGCTGAGTTGAAAGTGGGTAACAAACTTCACTCGCTTCCGAACACACACACACACACACACACACACACACACACACACTCGGACGACCCTTAGACAATATGCGTTTTTGCTCACTAGCAAGCGATATAAAGCTGTACAAATTTCGAACTAACGGTTACTGATCATTTGGACCTCGATGTTGCATTGGTGGATTTCTGAGTCCGAGAAGTTGTGCCCGTAAATAGCATTTGTAACGGTGTTTATATCTAGAGCCCGTACAACAACCGTCAGTCCTGCTCCTGAAAACTGTTTTAAAAGTCTTAAGCTTTTGCTGTAATTTAAAGTGGCTGGTTTTGGCCGTGTCTACGATCCACCCGAGACAAATTTCTCACCTGAACAAATTTTTGATCGGGTTTGTTGCTCCCTACTGACGCTTTCACAGTGACATACAGCTGAATGATTTCCAGGGACAGGTTTCCCAGACAGCTTAATCTGTTTCAAAATACAGCGGAAAAAAACAGTGCAGTTGAAGCTCTCATTTGTGGTGTTTTTCGATAGTCAGAATGAACTCACGCTGCGACGCACGAGGCTTGCCAGTGCGATTATGCGTTTTTTTCGTGATTGCCTGCCTGTATTACTGGGGTGTAACTGCGGTGTTGCATTCAATCACTTGATGCGCTT